GATAACTCAAGGTCATTCCATAGAGAGAGAAAATGCTGCCTCAGAGGGCCACCACTGCAACCATTTCTTATTTACATATTCAAAAAGTCCAAAAGCAGCACCACAATGGAGAGACTAGAGTGGGTTGGTGTTTCTTTTAGGTTCTCACAGGACATACTAAGCTCTTGCCTTCGACCACTCTACTCAGAGAAGGGGATGGTTCCTTTTTTGGTAACAGTTAAGGAACAGTTCTCACAATGACCTTTAGAGAAGTCAACCCAGGTTTTTGGAATTTGACTAACATTTCTAGAGACACACATACACATACATATATGAGAGAGTATATAGGGCCTACAGAGACCAAAGATGCATGAACTCTAACATGCACTCAATAATAATAATAACATGAACTTTATTTGTATCCCGCTCTATCTCTCAAATGGGGACTCAGGGTGGTTAACAACATACAAAGAGGAAAAAAACCCAAATTTAAAAGAATGGTTAACAAAGATGTTGGAAATCACCGGGATTGTGGCGCAGCTGGCTGAGTGTTAGCTGCATTAAGATCACTCTGACCAAAAGGTAATGAGTTCGAAGCCAGCCCGGGTTGGAGTGGGTTTCCAACCAATTGTGTGTAGCCTGTTGTCAACCTTTGCAACCCGAAAGACAGTTGCATCTGTCAAGTAGGAAAATAAAGTACCACCTTAAAGTGTGGGGAGGCTAAATTAACTGATTTATGAGGCCATAAAGAAGACTCCAGCAAAGCATTCCAGCGGGGAAGCATGTTGGGAATGCGGAAATGCTTCATCAGCATTGCAGATGGAAGATGAAAGCAACAGCTCCCCTGGCGGCCAGAAAAAAAAAGTTAAATAGCCTCTGTGTATGTCTGTATATGTTTGTATGTCAAAAATTGGCATTGAATGTTTGCCATATATGTGTACACTGTAATCCGCCCTGAGTCCCCTGCGGGGTGAGAAGGGCGGAATATAAAAGCTGTAAATAAATAAATCAGGCAGAAAAAAATGCAGTGCAAAGATAGAGAATGGATGAAGCTTGGCTTGACAACAGTACATATGATAGCTTTGTCTAAATATGTGAAAGGATGCCATATGGAAGAGGGGGCAGACTTGTTTTCTGCTGCCCTTGAAACTAGGACTAGGAGCAATGGGTTCAAATTATGGGAAAGGAAATTCCATCTGAACATTAGAAAGAACTTCTTGACTATAAGAGCTGTTCAACAATAGAACTCTCTACCTCAGAATGTAGTGGAAGCTCCTTCCTTAGAAACTTTTAAACAGAGGCTGGATGGCCATCTGTCAGGGGTATTTTGATTGTGCTTTTCCTGCATGGCAGGGGGGTGGACTAGATGGCCCATTTGGCCTCTTCCAACTCTATTGTTCTATAGTTCTATGATTCAATTATTCAAACGTGCATAATGTACATCAATTTCTGGGTTTTGCAATATATTAGTCTATAATGTTGTAGTGTAGCTCAGATAACAGTGAGTATCAAGAAAAACTAGTTGTTTGCTAAATTCATTTTTATCTGTGATGTGAAGAAGGAAGGATCATATGTATTGTTGAGAATACTCTAAGGTAGTAATTAATCATATTGTCATTGTACAATTAGACTATGGGCATTTTTATAGTGCTTTTTTTTTTTATCTTTTTTATGACCTTTTCTTGTCAGCAAAGAGATCAAAGATATTCTTTATAAATATCTGTAACTCTTTAGATCCATTTGTGATGACATAATGGCAGCATTTTCCCTGAAAATGTCAACTAATTTGTCAGTAAATATTATCTCACCTTCATTACTTTTAGCTAAAATGCCATAGTATTTATTTTATAGATCCAATTGCCGGTCATGTTGTCATTACAGACAGGATTGTCCTTCTGAATATACTGTTCAACTAAGTCTCTATGATAAACCATGACATATATATTATTTTCAAATCGCAGTCATTAATGTTCATGCTGATCAGATTCTGGGTGGCAGTCCACCATTTCTGAAAACAATTAACTCCTTAAAATTGACAGGGGACAGAGATGCCCAAAAGTTGAGAGAAGGGCTAGGTGCTAAAATTCTATATTAGGTAGGACCCTCCAGATTTTCACAGATAGAGATGCAAAAAACCTGAAATCAAATTAAATGTTCCTCCTCCCCAAAAACCAAACCAACCCAAACAAAGAATATCCACTGTTTTGAAAAATAATGTTTCATTTTGTTCCCAGAAGTCTCAAGATGTGGTAATTCACCTTCATTTTTTCTGGCAGTGGTTCTCAGCCTGTGGGTCTTCAGATTTTGTCCTTCAGCTCCCAGATATCCTAACAGCTGGTAAATTGGCTGGGATTTCTGGGCATTGTTGGCCAAAACACCTGGGGACCCACAGGTTGAGAACCACTGGTCTAAAGGGCCTAGAGAAGTTGACACATTCAAAAACAGCCTTGAAGTCTGCATGTTATCAATCTAATATAGAGAGTATGGGAAGTATGTATATATGTCCCCAGTAATAAAGACAACCAGAATGACATAGTGGTTTGAAAGTTAGAGTGGAACTCTACAGAATGAAGGCTTGTACCCCCACCCAGCCATAGAAAACCATAGTGACCTAAGGCAAATTTAATTCCTTGAGCCTCAGAAGAAGGCCAAATCTTGCCTTGAAATGCCCATGATAGGATTGCTATAAGCTGGAAATTACTTGAAAGAAAGCCACAGTTGTCCCTACTATTCCCCATTATTTTCCAACATTTCCTATAAACTTCATTACTCTAGATAGAGTCAATTTGAAGAACAATCATGGATACAATGACCACATTTTGCAAAGCCTAATGGACAAAATGTTAGCTTTATTTTAATTAATAAATATAAAAAACTTAGAGCAGAACTTCTTAACAATGTCTGATAATTGGAAAAATGTTGGCTGTAGTCAAATGATATATTCATTGGGTTTTCATGATTGCACTTTCAAAAACCTTATTTTAGGATAGTCAATTTCAACGTCCTTCCAAACAGGCCTCAAAATGTGAGGCTTTCAAGCCTTTAGTGGAGGCATCCAAATGATGCCTCTGTAAAAAAGAATCAATTTGGGACTAAGCAGGTAAATCCTGCTTTGTCCCAAATTAATTAGACACCCTATAAGACCCAGGTCTAATGTGGTATTGGAGTTGTGAGAACTGACTCTCGGTTACTCCCAGGGGTCGGTCCCCACTGCTCTCTTGGTTCTTCGGCCTGCATGAGCCCGGAAAACCAAGAGGGCACCCAACCCATCCCCCCCCCCAAGCCCTTAAAAGAAGTAAAAACGTACTGGGCTGCCATGACACTCCTCCAGCAGGCCARCTGGCATGTAGAAGTGACACACCAGAAGGCAAGGGAAGGGCAAAGAGGAAAATCACTCCTGTGTCATTTCTGTGCACCAGGAGGCCTGCTGGAGGAGTGTCATGGCAGCTCAGTAAGTTTTTACTTCCTTTAAGGACTTTATGGGGGGGGGGGGCGGTTGGAGGTGGTCTCATTCAATTGTGGTAGTTACTGTGATGGTATGGTGACACCCCCCAGACAAAGCCTGGGTTTTGGGGGAGGGTGTGTGGGCCCAAATACACATCAAAGTGGGTTTTAAAAACCCATTCTCTTGCAGATTTGGGCCCCGTCTGGAAGCACCCCAGCTCCTGCTTTAAAGTCGCAATCCCTTCTTTGTTTCTTCTTGCTTGCCTTGAATGACTTATTTCTAGCCACTCTTTACAGGTAATTTACCTAAGAACAAATGCAGTAGATCTTTCTTGTAAAGTAATAGTAACTAAAGGATAAAAAGCACTAGCAGGGGTGGCTCAACCCATTACGCAAAGTAAGCATTTGCAGTATAGTTGATTTGGCCCAGGGGCACTCTTGGGGGAAAATAGACCTTGACATATGCGAGTTGTAGTTACTGGGATGTATAGTTCACCTACAATCAAAAGAGCATTCTGAACTCCACCAATGATGGAATTGAACCAAATATGGCACACAGAACTCCCACGATGAACAAAAAATATATATCAGTGATTGGTTGGTTGGGGGGGGGGGGGTGCCAAAATACTGTTTGCTTACCATTTGAAAATTACCTAGAGCCACCTCTGAGCACTAGAATGTATGTTTGTGGAATAGAGGATTGGGTTTCTTAACAGAATTGGGCAAAGCTGTTAATCTATCATTTCATTTAGGGTATTTATACGCCATTTTATAGCCATCAAAGTGTGACAGTTTCCTGCCCTCAAACTTAAAATATAAATAAGACAGGATACGCAAGGAAAAGAGACTGACAGTGGGGAAGAGATACTGCTCTCTCTTCTGTATCACTGAGGCCTGGATAGTGACAGTTGGGATAAAGGGGGAGGGGTCTTTAATTTGCTTCTGGGACTAGGCATGAAGCACGCACAAGACTAACATTCTCTTTTTTGATATATCCTCATTAACTGAATAATGTCTGTTCTTTAACTACATTGCACCCAAAAGTTGGCTGCAACTATATCTACTCACACTTGAGTTAGCCCAACTGAGCAAAATGGGGCACATATCTATATAATCATCATGTAAAACCCATTTATTTAGGCTGAGTTCATCTTACTAGTTTCAGGTTTTTAATAAATCATTTTCTGTTGTATCTGCTGCTTCTGGGATGTACATCTTCTCAACTAAATATAAGCCATTGCTTTTCTTGGGACTTATCCATGACTTGGTTGATCCCTCAGCCCTTACAGAAAATAGTAATTTGGATTTATAAGTCAATCCTACTTTAAACCAACATTATTTGCAGAGAAGTATTCAATAATTAATCAGCCATAAATATTTAATGGAGAATTGGTTTATTTTGGTTTAAGGTGGAAGAATAACATTTTCTTTAACATGCTTCTTGGTAACTTTATACACATTTTAAGATATATAAAGGTATTATGTATTTGTATCCTTATGTGCAAACTGTTCTGCCAGTAATCCCAGTTTTGTATTATCCAGCTCATTTTAGTACCTGCTATGTGTTTGTCTTTTAGGCAAACGTGTAAAACCTTCAAGAACAAGGAGATTTCTGCTGTGCCTGATGACAATTTTTGATTATTCCACACACACACCATACTCTGGCTCCACGTTTGGAGAAATAGTTGTGATGAATCCTAATCTTGGTTGGATTCTCAGGAAATGCCAGAAGGTGTGCTGAGGCGTGAAGAGTCAAAAACACTCCTGAAAAAAGATGTTCCAGCCTTGGCTTGTTATGCAAAAAGCAACAGGTGTGTACAAACACAGGTTTCCATAGCTCTAGAAGAATTTAAGTAATATGCTGTGTCTTCTGATATATTTTATTCATTCACAAAATTATTTTATACTGTTTATTATTATCCTTGAAAGCCCCCCCCCACCCCAAAGTGGTTTACGTAACAGGATGAAATGAAGCCAAATATCTTTAAAAATTAAAACAAAGTTTTAAAATCAAAAGGATTTGAGTAACCTAAAATTACTGCTCACTGGAGGGAAGGATATTAGAGCCAAAGATGAAGTACTTTGGCGACATCATGAGAAGACAGGAAAGCTTAGAGAAGGCAATGATGTTGGGGAAAATGGAAGGAAAAAGGAGGAGGGGCTGACCAAGGGCAAGATGGATGAATGGTATCCTTGAAGTGACTGGCTTGACTCTGAAGGAGCGGGGGTGGTGATGGCTGACAGGGAGCTCTGGTGTAGGCTGGTTCATGAGGTCACGAAGAGTCAGAAGTGACTGAACGAATAAACAACAAAAATAGGATGAAATGAAGGCAAATATCATAAAAAAAAATTAAAACAAAGTTTTAAAATCAAAAGGATCTGAGTAATCGAAAAATATATACTACAAACTATTAAAAACTAAGAGAAAAGAGAATGCAGTTATTCTCCATTTTAGATCAGGAATGATGCTGGTCTCACCTAATTTGAGAGGGAATTCCGTAACTGGGCTCCTGCCATAGAAAATACTTGATGTTAATTCTGCATAAGGCACCATTTATTCTCAAATGTTGATCCTCATTAGAAAGATTTCTCCGGTTTTACTGAAGGAAAGACACCTTAGCACAGATTGTGCAGAATATCATTTTAGAGTGACCATTAGCCATTGTTGTCCACATTTGTATGCATATCCTCTGTCTCTTTCCAAAGAGATGTTGCATTTCACAGAGATTTAGATTATAATATGATATCACTTTGTTGGAATTAGTGCTCTAAAATAGGCAGGTGTAAAGTGAAATCTGATTGTTAACAGTCTCTTGTTGTACAGTTTCCATCATAAGGTGTTCTGTTTGATTATTACAATGCCTAAGATGTGGATATAATATGCATAAATATTTATGCAGTTCTAATAATACTAAAAAGATAGCATGTGTAATTCTTCCATTTTATCCAGGTCTGTTTACACAGTGTAAACATGTGTGCTTAAATGAATACTGCTGCTTTTATATTAAGTTACAGTCGAATATGTAGACAGGGATCCAGAATATCAATGTCACAGTGAATGTTCATTAGAAGCCAGCAACAAATTTTGCACTGCTTCCCTGAATCTAATCAGACTCTGGTTTAGACTAATCTCTAGGGATTTATATGCCCTGGTCCACACTTTAATGAATGAGCCTTTCTATGTGTATATTGATTTATTTTTTTCAGGAACCACACTGATATGAAGGAAAAAGCAATACTTTATCCTGTTGCAAAAAATTCTGGTTTCTTAGCTATTGGTTTCTGTTCAAACCAAGACTTGTTGCTCCTTTTAGAGGTAATTTTTGATTATAGAAGACATCTGTCCCTTTGCTTTGAATGTTGGGTTTGATAGTATTAATCCTTCTCACAGCCTGAAAAGTGATGTTGAAGCATTCTTCAAAATAAATATAAATGCACTTGTGTGTTACTTTGTGTGGTGACAAACAGGGCCGTAGCCAGAAAAAAATTTCGGGAGGGGTTGAAAATTTTGCGGGGGGGGGGGGGGGGGGGGGGGGTTGAAACCTGCCTCCTAGATCATGCTGAAGCAAAGAGCACAGCAGGGGGCAGAGCAGCCTTCAATAGCCTGCAGCTCCGCCCCTGTCAACCACCTCCACCAAGTATGGCCTCCTTAACACACACATTCAACACACACATGCTCAACTTGGTTGCTTCACTACATTGGCTATTGCTGCAAGTAATTACAGTGTGAATAAATTGTCAATATTTGCTTGAGATAGTGCTTGCAGTTCTGGAGGGACTCTTAATTTTTTGCATCTCATAGACTTAGCAGGGGGATTTGGTTAACCAGTTCAAATTCATGAGTAAACCAGGTTTTTTTAAAAATCTGAAACATTTCGGGGGGGGGGGTGGGTTGAACCCCTAAAACCACCCCCTCACTACAGGCCTGGTGACAAATTATTCTTCTCTGGACACTGAAAAAAGGGACCATTTCCAAAATGAAATATATCAGAACTCCGACTTCCTGGAAATCTTTTATCTCTAACTTGGGAAGTCCTTCCTTTTAATGCTTGACTTATATATTCTGCAAGAATTGCTCTGTTTTGTGGGAAAGGCACTCTTTAATATATTAAACAGGCATCAGACTTGGCTCAAAATGAGCCCTACTTAAGCAATGTTGAAAATAATGGAATAAGAAGGGTATGCAATGGCAAAGGGTGTTCTCTGTAACTGATGCTGGAATGAGCAGTCTTCTTATCTCCCTTATTCCTAATTTATGATGTTCCCCTGTCTATGCATTTCAGCAAAAGCTAGAGATTGAACCAAATAACACATAGATTTATATTTTTGGAGCTTTTCTGTGCTTGTGGATTTTCCTGACCCGCACAGTGTTACCTAAGTAGCTCTTGTCTGAAGCCTGCTTTAAATTCAGTGAATTGAGGCAGAGTGATGGCATGTTTAAAGCCTCTTCTGAAACTGTTATTTATGTAACATCTTCCCCATTCCATTTTAAGATGAGCAAAATCTGCAAAGTGAAGCCTTTTCATTTTGCCCTGTTTTTTTTCTCACCACTTCCCACCCTTTTGTGTTTGGGTTCTTAACATCCAAGCTGTAGAACAGATCTGATGAACTTGTGATTGCTCACTTCATTACAAGTTTTTCCTGATCTGAATTATGCTACTTCTTTCATTCTTTTAAAGTATTTTTATTGATTCCCTAAGGCATTTTGACCCTTAAGTTTGTTGAAAGGATGGTGTTTTTTATCATTTTATTTATCCAACATTGAGTTAGAATATTTGGTCTTTTGAACTAAGGGTGCATCTACGGTGAAGAATTAATGTAGTTTGATGCCATTTTAACTGCTGTAGCTCGATGTTATAGGATCATAAGAGTTGCCATTTTAGCTTCCTCTGCCAAAGAGTGCTGGTGACTCTCCAAACTACAAATCTCAGGATTCCATCTCATTGAGACATGACAGTTAAAGTGAGCCCAAATTGCATTAATTTAATCTGTAATACTTTGGAGGTTTAAAATATTGGAGAAATACAGAATGGCTACATTAATTATTGCAAGTAGGCTTGGAAGAAGAAATAACAAACAACGGAGAACTGGGCCAAGAATGCTCATATTTGGTCCAGTAACTGAAAAGAAGAAAGGAACTAGAAAAAGAACAAAATCCTAGATTGAGAATCACATTCTCAGCTTTGGAAACTGCATATTGCATAGGGCTGTTGGGTGAACCCAAAATGATCATATTTTGGTTTAGAGAACTAGAATTACCCCAAGATAGCCTGATTATTTGGAGTTTCTATTACAAGACAGGAAAACCACAGTATCATTTTCTGTAAACCGTAAGAGTCGGTGTGAAAATCTTTGTCTATTTAGCCAAGTGAATTGGATGACAACAGCTCATCTGAATCTATCTGAGTCTGTAAAAATAAATAAGCACCAGAACACATACATTGTCTAGACAGTAAATTGCTGCTAGGCCCTTTGCAAAGTAACTGAGGATAAATTTCTAGGGCACATAGTAATAGGCATCAACATCTACATTTTCTTTTGAGAGTCAAGTAAGTAGCATCATTTTAGTGATGTATAAAACAAAGATAATATTGTTTATCCCATAAGGAAAAAAACTCAGTGCTCGAAGTCATACTGAAAGTATTTCCTTAGCTGTTTATATGTTTGATGACAATACAATTTGCTAATAATTTATATAAATATTACAGATGACCAAAATATGCACTGAGTTAATTATATTTCCATCCTAGGACTCTTAACCCAACATGTTGTTGTTAGGTGACCTCCAGTTGCTTCTGACTTACAGTGACCCTGTCAAGGGTTTTCTTATCATGGGATTTACCTTCTTCTGAGCCTAAGAATATTTGACTTGCTCAAGGTCATCCAGTAGGTTTCCATGGCCAAGTGAAGATTTGAGCTCAGGTCCTCCAGGATCCATTATCCAGAAGCTATTACACCATGCTTACTCTCCTTATCTCCACATGAGAATCTGGAAATGAACCAAGTTACTAAAATAAAAAAGAATTTAATACATTTTTCAACTCAGTTCAGGCTTCTATTTTTTTTATCAAATATTTGATTTTATATATGTGTTGTGGCCATGACAGCTTGTATTAATATCATATTTCCACTTTAAAAAAATTACCTAGTAAACCTATCAGTGAACATAGTTACAGATGAAAAAGAAAAGAAATATTCAAAGCCATGAGGTAAATTTTCTCCCTTCAGATTGTAAGACAATCACCACCACATTTACTTTCACAAACAATATATTGTTGATTATCTTGGTAAAACATGCAATCCGCTTTCAAAGATCCCTATAAAGTATGGCTTGCCACCTGTTTTGAAAGATGTTACCTTATATGAAGTCTAGAAATTATAAACCTTCAACACTTTAATTTAATAACACAGTCTAATTTAAAAACACAGTGCTAGCTGTGTATATTGGTCACATAGGAAATTCACCTTTTTCTTTGATTTTAGAGAATGCACAGATATATTGTGACAGGCACAGTCTCAGAAGAGTCGTTTCTCATTTCATCAAACACTAAACATGAGCGGGTCTTTCATAGAAAGTGCTTGTTATCTGATTTTTTTGTAAACACATCTAATAAAACTGTGGTGCATCTATATGGTAAAATTAATGTAGTGTGACACCACTTTAACTGCCATGGCTCAATGCTGTGGGATCCTGGGAGTTGCAGTTTGATGAGGCACAAGAACTCTTTAGAAGACAAAATCAAAGACCTTATAAAAATATAACTCCAGTGATTTAATAGCATTGAACCATGGCAGTTAAAGGGGTGTCAAACTGCATTGATTCTACAGTGCAGATGTGCCCAAAATTATTGGGATTTAATGTGCCAGTTAAGTATTTTAATGTATGAGTACTCCAGTCTTAATTAATGTTTCTTCTTAAATTATTTTTATTTGATTTTATACATATTTTATATATACAGTATTCAGACAGTATTAAAAATAAGTAAAAAAAAAATCCAGACCAGACACAGTAAACTTAACTTATAATGATAAGTCATATCTTCCCTGAGGCTATGTTAGACCTATGGGGACATAAAAAAGCAAATGCTGGAGGGGGAATATGACATCCCTCCTTAATTTAGTATACTTACTAGTTATGTGTTTCCCCTCATGCCCCTCACGTCAACTCCATCAATGATATTCAGGGCACAGGAGGCTATTGTTTAAAAGCAGCAGCGTGTAGCTTGATAAAGTAGGTGGGGAAGGATTTCAGTCTATTAGCCTTTTCTCAGCAACAAGCAGATTCCACACATAATACTTTAATACAAAAATCACGTTAAAATATACACTGCATGGCTCTTACCATGCAAAAAGTGTAGCATTCCTTTCATACATATACTTTCGTATTAAAGTATTATGACTTCCTTCCCTCCCCTCTCCAAGTGTGTGAGGGGAAAAAAAGAAAATACCAAGAAGGCATCAAATCCCATCTGATCTTGGACACTACATAGGATCAGGCCCAGTTAGTACTTGCAAGGGTGTTTCTAAGTGACTACCTATTAGTGTGCACAGTACTTCAGAAGAAGATGGTGGTGAACTACTAAGAAAACAATGGGAAATCCATGGAGGTCACCATGTCAGTTGGTAACTTGAGGATGTGCACACAAAAAATGCTAAACTACTATTGGGCAACTGGTCCCTTCCAGATATTGTTGAATTTCATCTTTCCCTCATCTTTGACTCTGTTGACTGAGAGGACCTGTGATCCTAAATCTGGCAGGCCACAATTGCCCAGTGCTTGTTAAACCATGAACCGAAACAAGACAAAATAAGATTTTGACTCAAATGATGTTCCTCTCTCATTCCAATAGTCATTTCAACTTGTACATGTAGTGCCGAATCAAGGGCAGGGTACATTCTACCAATCTATTTGATAGACAAACCTGTTTAGATCTGTATTATAGCAGGGATCATGGTCACTGAATCACTGGGAAAATTGATTTTTAGTTTACTATGAAGGGAAGGAAAAATCTGCATCCATTCTCTGGCTTGTGCATAGTTCTACCCATCAGCTATGTATCTCACCAAAGTAGAACTGAAAATAATATGCACAAGGTGGATTGAAGGGAAAGGTGTATAAAATAGGTTGGTGCAAATACATGTGCTAGCAGCACAACCCATCACAAGTTGTGTTGAAATTTTGTACAATAAATTATGTGTGTACATAGATATATGCACATACATGTAAAACAGGCGAGCCACTGAGGTACTCACTAATAGTTACACTTCATCATGGAAAGGAGTGACTAGTGTAGTGCCACAGGGTTCAGTCCTGGG